GAAAGAGGCAAGAGGAAGCTTCTTCCTCAGTCTAAGGAAACTTTCAGTAACTTTGTGCTGTTCAAGGGCCTTGTCTGCACTGTACAGAAAGTTTTACTAGTTGTATGTAATTCTGATGTTAATAGTTTTCATGCACGTTAGCAGATGGAGGTAAATTGTGGGGTGGCCTGGGGCGTAGCATCAAGTCCATGAGCATGTGGGTAAAACTAAGAAAAAAAAAATTGAGGTTTTGGTTGCCAGTGTATGATTTTGAGAAGAATATGAACAATTTGTCTTTGAATAATTAATGAATATGATGATATTTATATGTTTATTTCTCATGCAGCTTTGGGATTTGAACAAAAAGTATTGTAGAAATACGATGATGGGTCATGTAAATTCCGTCAATCACTGTAGATTTTCACCAAATGATGAATATGTTGCTAGCTGCTCAACAGATGGAACAGTAAAGGTACACAGTGTATTTTTAAATCAACTGTTTGTTTTGATAATGGATTTTTTTTTGTATAAAATGCAAAACATTTATAAGAAAACTTTGTGTCTGCGTGGTCGGCTTTAATGAATTAAATCCTAAAACAGTTGATTATTGGTCCTATTGTTAAGGCAAGATTTTGAAATAGCTTGTCTGGTACCAGGGGAAAAAAGTTGGGTGCCTGTAGTTGTAAATAAATCCTAGCTAGCCTCATTTTCACCATCCTTTAATTTTCACCATCTTTTTTTTTCTTTTTTTTTTCTTCTTTTTCCCCCTAATGTACTTTAAGAAAACTTGGGGTGGGGGAGTGAAACTTGTTTTTTAAAAAAAAAAAAGAGTAATGCATTTTTAGATTAATTGAAAGTTCTGTCATCTTTGAAAATGAGTATCAGTAGACATAAAAGTTAAAAGCAATTTCTATGTGACGTTTTTCATGTATGCACTAGAAGAGAATTGAGAGGTTTATGTTGTGTTTTCCTCAGAATGTAAGTATTCTTTTCATTGCCTTTGGTTGCATCAGAACTATGCTATTTCAGAATTGCAGTTCTTAAAACACTGTTATCTTTATGTAGAGTTCCTAAATCAGAAAGAAGGGTTGCTGTAGCTGTTGTCATTCAGAAGGAAAATTGTGGTGGAGGGAACAGAAATGTTCAGTAGATTTTTGGCATGTGCCTCAATGGGATCAGGGTGCAAAGTTAGATATATAGACCAGATTTCTCATGGTGAGTGAACTTTTAATAGAGTTGCAGAGCAGATATTATTTTTAGTTTTATTCTTTTGTTAAGAGACAGTGTTGTAGCTGGAATGATATGAGGTAAAAACCCAGGGAGAGGGTTCTGCTACAGTGTAATCCTCTTCTTTGGTTTTGTGTGTTTTGGTTTTTTTTGTTTGTTTTGGGTTTGGTGTTTTTTGTTTTGTTTTGTTTTTTTCTTTTGATCTAAGCTGTCTGGATTTTTGTTTTGTTTTGTTTTTTTTTTTTCTTTTGATCTAAGCTGTCTGGGCTTGTGAATATTCTAATGCTATTTCTTGGCCAGGGAAAGTAGCAAAGGCTTTTCTGTATTCTAGCCCCTGCCTCCCTTCTTCCCTAGAAGTGATTGGGAGTTAGCTCTCCCCTGTTGTATTTTGTATCCACATCAGTAAAAAGAGTGTTTGTGTATTTCCTTTACCTTTTATTGCAGCTTTGGGAAGTGCGCTCAGCAAATGAACTAAAAAGTATTGAGATAAAAGATTTCTTCAAAAATGCAGATGAGCAACCAGATGATGTGGAGGTTTTAGTAAAATGTTGCTCTTGGTCCAGAAATGGTGACATGATTTTGGTGGTAGCCAAAAATAAGCTTTTGGTAAGTACCCCACTTTAATGATTTTCTTGAGGTAGTATAGAACCATAGAATCATAGAATGGTTTGGGTTGGAAGGGACCTTAAAGATCATCTAGTTAGAAATTATGATTAAAGATAAAATTCTAGGCCATTAAGATGTTTCAGATACAAGGTGCATGGTTTCAAGTGTGTATAAAGTAAAAATATGTGGGCAACAAACTTTTTGACTGAGAGAAATACCTTCTAAATTCAAGAATGTATGCTGTTGAGCATATAAGCTATTTGTCTATAGTGAAGTCATACAAACTGGGTGCTAACTATTGTAATTATGTGTCCACAGCTTTTTGATGTTAAAACATGTGCTTTGTTAACGCAAGTCGTCGTAAGTCATCACAGTACAATCCAATACTGTGACTTTTGTCCTGGTGATGAGTTAGTAGCAGTTGCTTTGTCTCACTGTTCTGTTGAGGTAAGTGATTGTCTTTGCTACAGTATACCAGGAAAGACTATTTGTAATACAAAATGTTACATTTGTCTTAATAGTTTCTTGTGTGCAGAGGTAAAACAAATGTAGCTATTTTAGCAGGCTTTCAATGTACTTAATTCTTTTTATTCTTCGTTTGCTTCTGAAATGTAAAATATCAATTGGGAAATAATGTTGAAAGTTATACGTTCATTTTGGACAACAGAACTCAAGTTTATAAATTTATATAAAAAGACTAGGCTACTAAATTTCTTTAAAGTTACTGTTGTCACTCTTGGGACTATAGGCCTTCCCATTGCTTAACTCAAACAAAACCCCCTCTCCTTCTATATGCTGCTACAGAATGTGGCAACTCACTACAAAGGAATAACACAGACTTTGGGAATAGCACAGCTAGAGTAAGCCTGTACAAGTATCAGTTTTGGGGTTGTGGTTTTTTGTTGTTTGGGGTTTTTTTTGTTTTTGCAATCGACATGGTCGGTTGAACTTGTAATTTTTTTTTTTCTTTATACTGTGAGTGATTTTTTTTTTCTCTTCTTTTTTTCCCCTCATCTTTTAAAATTATAGCAGTCAGAGGCTGCTGATTCAATTGCCCTGACCATCGAAATGTGATAAGCAGGCACAATTCTTGTTACATCTGATTTCAGAATGAGAAGTAAGAAAATACTAGAAGAAATAGTAATTAAGTATACTACTTGTTTTGCACTGTTTTCCCTGTAAATGCAATCTAAATCCATTTGAGTTTTTCTTTCATATTTTTGTTGTAGTTATGGAATATTAAATCTTTATCAAAAGTAGCGTATTGCAGGGGACACATGAGCTGGGTTCACTGTGTGACGTTTTCGCCAGATGGATCTTTATTTCTGACATCATCTGATGACCAGACAATACGTGTAAGATGACATCTTTCTTTTTTGAAAAATGTGAATTTATAAATATCTATTATTAAATTATTCATTTAAGGAATTGTTTATTATAAAATTACATAATACATATTATAC